CCTTTTTTAAATTATTTTATTTTTGTTTTTTATGTTTTTTTTTTCTATTTTCTTAACCGATTATTAGCACACACATTGACAAAGGGAAGACTGATTTACAGTAATATTTATTCGTCATCGTCCGATGACGAAGAGGACAATCTGCTTCTAGCTAGACTTTTAAACCGAAAACTTGATTCCTGTTTATCACCAAAAGAAAGTCATTCTGGGACCACTGATTTTGACTGACATTCATCTAGACAATGTCATGTCAACCGGAATTGATATTCAATCATCTCATTCCATTTTAACAAATCTGGAACCACAAATCAACGAGTATGTAGTGGTTAAATTTTGTACAAAAAAGCTGGTTAAACATTACATTGGTGTTATCCAATCGACCGAGTTAGAAGATTATCCAAATGACTACTTAATTAAATTTGTTAAGAAAAAGACTGGTACTGATAAATTCTTTTTTCCAGTTCGTGAAGACATTTCACTAATAAGCAAGACTGATGTAGTATCTGTTCTTCCTCCAGTAATAGTTCTTGATCGGGAACAGTTATTTTTTAATACAGTTTTGTCTTTATTCAGTAACATAAATTACATAAATTAAGTATTTTAGGTGTTTTATTATAAATGATTACACGTTCCTTTCTTACCATTTTAAGAGTGTTAAATAATAGAATATAAACTAGTTATTTTATGTTATTTCGAGTTTTCTTGTAAATGGTAAAATGTTCATTTTTTACTCCCTTTAAGGGTGTTTATTAATACAAGTTATTTTTAATTACATGTTTATTATTTGTGTAAATATTAAAAACCAAAATTATAGACCAATTTAGCATGAAATCGCAAAAATATGGTAATTCTCACATCCGTGAAAAGTTATCACCTCCGTGATTTAGGATTTTTAAAAATCCTTAAAATTTTGAAAAAACATTGTGGAAAGTGTTTGACCATATTTGTCATTTAACATGTCTTTAATTGCTTTAAATATTATATAATATAGTTAATTTAAGAAAATATTTAATGTATTTAACCACAAAAACTGTTGATATCACAGTCTGTGGTTGGTATACTTTTTCTCTCAATGTACGAATGTGGCGCAAAAATAAATATCCAAACACCGATGGCATAAAAAATCACGACATGATTTTTTATGCTAACGGTGTTTGGGCATAAAAAATCACGACATGATTTTAACTATACAGGGTGAGTTTTAAGTTGACGCGTTCCTTTTAACAGCGTGTAGAAATCAGATAAACAAATAAATATTTTAAGTAACTTTTTTATCAAAACTCAAAAATAAGAGAGCCTTCCAAGTTTAATTAAATTTTGAGCCGGTTCTGGCTATTGTTAACAAAAAACATAACCATAAAAATAAAAATAACAAAATAAACAATGCAAAATGTCATCTATGACAACAAACATAACCATTTAAATCAAAATGACATTTGGCAATGAAAAATGTCATTATATAGGTACCTAAATTTTTTTGTGCCTTAATTATTGTTAAAAATGGTTCATAATTATAGCAATAATGAATTAGTGGAAATGTTACTAATTTATGGAGAGTGTCGTCAAAATGCAAATGCTGCAACTTAAGTAAATAATGACATTTTTTATTGCAAAATGTCAATTTGATTTAAATGGATATGTTTGTTGTCTTCTTCTTCTTCTTCTTTGGTCTGAAAAAAACGCCTCCGTTTCTTCAGGGGGGATGGCCTTTAGCTTATTTAAAAACTATTTGGCCAGCTCATTATACCTTGAATATACATTATAATCAAGGGACCCAGTTAAGAGTGTCTGAGATTTCTCATCCCTTGATTTTTGGGCTTTTATAGATTTGTTTGTCGCTTGTTCTTCTAAATGTCTTATGTGTGGTAAACTTTTTGTTTGAGTAGAGTATTTTCATGTTTTTTGTTTTAAATTAAAGTTAGTATAGGACAAAACACAACAAAGGTTAAAAACTTTTCACGCTTGGGGGCAGAGGCCAAGCGACTTGGACAACCCCAAAGATGCTACCTCGGAAGGGGATCCCAGGATATGAGTTATGTGTGGATCTAAAAAAAATATATGATTAAATTTTGATTTTGTTTGTGTCAAAGTAGTATAATTTTTAAGTTCTTTTTGTTTGAATTTTTCAATATTGTAGGTATGCTGGCAGGGAGGATAATGTCATTTTTTGCCAGTTCAAAGTAGATGTCTGTTCCAGGTATTTTGTTTATGGGACATTCCAGTAATATATGGTATAAATTTTCTTCCTCTTCGCATTCACAGATAGGGTTATCCTCTATTCCTATTCTATGAAGATGAGTTTTAAATAATCCATGTCCAGACCTTAAACGTATGATTGTTGTTAGATGTCTTCTGTTTTTGACCTTATTTGTATGAAACCATGGTTTTATTGGAAAGTTTTCTTTAATTTGATTGTACCATTTTCCTTTGTATGTTGATATTTTTTTCCATTTTTTATTCCATGCCTTTATAATTTGTTTCTTTAAGTTGGGCATCATTTCATACATGTCGGGTTGGCATTCCAGGGGGACATTAAGGTTGATTCCAATTTTAGCCAGCTGGTCTGCTTTTTCATTTCCCTTGATATCATTGTGGCCTGGTATCCATCCCAGTTTGAATTCAAATCCATTTTCATTTGCTGTAGTTATTAGTTTCTTAGTTGCCAGAGCTAAATAGTTGTCTTTTGCATTGTAGTTAGTATTTGTTAGTATTTGCAATGCGCTGAGAGAATTGGATAGAAGTAGATTTTTTTTACTATTATTGGAGAGCGCAAGCTCGGACCCCTTACATATTGCTGCTATTTCAGCGGTGCAAATCTGTAGGTTATTTGGTAATCTTGCCGCAAAATGAATTTTTAAGTCGGGGCTGTATACTCCGATACCCGTTTTTATGTCTATCTTGGATGCATCTGTGTAAATAATATTGAATTTTCTTTGTTTAAAATTTTCGATAATTGGCATGATGTTTATATTGTTGTTGGGATTGTTTTTACTAAGTTCTAGATCTATAAGGTCGATTTCTGCAAATTGGTGGGAATATTCGATTTCGAAGCATGGTAGTAAACAATGTCTTCTGCCTATGTTGATGTACTCCTTTAGGAGGGGGAGGGATTGTATTATATAGGGTTGGGATTTATTTCTCCAGTATGTAGTTGGTGTTGAATTAGGGTGGAAAAACTGTTAATAAGGCGAACGAAATAAAACTCTACGGTTCGGTTTAGCATCGTCAGGAAAAACTGACTAACTTATTTATTAACAAGTTGTTATTAACAACAGGCATTAAAAATATTGCCAATAGATGTCAGGATAAATATAACCTATATTAATATTTTAGATACTAAATATCAACACTCCCACTTATGAAAGGCAAATTTTTGAGTACATCTTATTAAACGGAAACGTTTGCCGCATATTATAACACAAGATTAATTTTTTTTCAGCGTGAAGAACACATACAAAATTTCAATTGTTTATAATAAATGTATGCAAAATTCTTTTATTTAAACAAATTAACCTTAATTAAATGATCATGATATACTCTAAACATTTCTACAATAGTGTGTAAAATTTAATTCAATTATACAGAGTGGTCCCAGAGATTCTATTTTTTCAATTTTACCGTGCTCTAAAGTTTGACAAAATTGTCAACCTAAATAACATTACCAAAAAAACGAATTTTAAAACAATTTTTTTACTGTAACATATGAGTCATGCCTACTACACAATAATGTGATTATTTTCAAAATCGGTGATTTCGTGAAATTTTCTGGTCCCACTTGACGTGGTTTGACTCAGGTATGAGTCGTCTGGGATATGTTTGTTGTCAAATTTGACATTTTGCATTGTTTATTTTGATATTTTTATGGTTATGTTTTTCGTTAACAATAGCCAGGACCGGCTTAAAATTTAATTAAACTTTGATGGGCTATAACTTTTTATTTTTGAGTTTTGATAAAAAAGTTACTTAAAATATTTATTTGTCTAGCTGATTTCTACACACTGTTAAAAGGAACGCGTCAACTTAAAACTCACCCTGTATATAGTTAATTTAAATCCAAGAAAATATTAAATGTATTTAACCGTAAAAACTGTTGATTCAACATAATTTTTCTCTTAGTGTACGAACGTGGCGCAAAAATGATTATCCAAACACCGTTGGCATAAAAAATCACGACATGATTTTTGAGGCCATCGGTCAATCGCAAACAGCGATGGCATAAAAAATCACGACATGATTTTCATTTCTCACGCAGTGACATCCGGATGATGTCCGTATGAATAAAATTTGTGAAAATCACGACGTGACGTTCGTATGATTTTCATTTATCACGCGGTGACTTCCGTATGATATCAGTATGAATAAAATTTGTGAAAATCACGACATGATGTTCGTATGAATATCACGAATGTTGTCCGGGCACAACATAGGATCAGTGGCGTTTTCTCTATGGAAGCACATGAACACAGAATTCAAAAGTAAAAATAAAATGTTTAATTTATAATTTATATTATTTTTCGTAGTTTCCGAACCTGGTTGATAATTATTATCGCACCGTTTCCAAGTTATTGACAAGTTTGCTGCTAATAAGGTCAGAGGAATAGACTTTACGTTTAAACACTGTACACAATGATGAAATATAAATTAGCATTTTGTTCTTTCTTTAATGCATACATATTTCAATGTTTAATCTAATATTTTGTATTGTTTTGAAAGCTTCAAAAAGTAATTATAGTCGTGCAAGTCACAAAAAAATCCGTGCCTTTTTTAAATTTATGAACCTCTTTAATCATAGATCACGAGCCGCCACTGCCAAGGATCCTATGTCGGAGACGACAGGCCAAATAAGCGCATTCATTTACTTGTGCTTTTTAGATATACCCTTTAAACCCCTGTATAAAAAAGACTGAATGTTACCAATTGTTTGTTGTGCATTTTATCTTAAAGATTTGTATTACGGTTTTGTAACCTAATTAATTATTATAATCCTTAATTATTTTTAGTTATGTTGGAAAAAAGCTATCCCAAGTATTTTACGACCAGTGTCAAAGAATACTTAGCCCAGGTGATAGATAAAGAAGAATATCTTACTCAAGATGTGAGAACCCCATATGGCTATTACATTGATTTTGTAGTATATATGAACCATAAACAAGAAATTGTATCAGAAACGTCCAAAGACATTACCTCAAAGTAAGGAAATATTTGGTATGTGCTGAAATTTGTAAGTACTATTTGTTTGATATTTTAGGATTGCTTTACTTCTGGTCAGACCCCATGTATTTACCAAATTTTACATAAATTTAAAAGGAAAATTCCAAATGAAGAAACGACATTTGGAGATGTTTGGGTATACTGTATCCATTATTAATATTGATGAATGGTTGAATCTGCTGTATGCTGAAGAAAGATTAGAATTTTTAAAAAATAAGATTTGGCTTGAGGAACAAAAATAATAAATAGGTGAATTTATATTTATTTTATTTTTCCCTAAAAATTACAGTACTGGCGGGATAAGAGATAATTAGTGTGATGCTAAGCACAAAAGTCCTATCTACAATAAATGATAATAATAATAAATGACAAAAGGTAATTTTTATTGTTTTTATCACCCGCAATTGTAGAGAAAATTGTACTTTAAATTTTACACCATTTAAAAAGTTAAATTGGTAGTGTCCGACCAAAGCTTCGGCTTTAGCCAAAAATGTCACCTTTGGCCAAACATTGAGCTTCGGCTAAAATTGAGCCAAAGGTTTAGCCGAAGCCGAACATTTAACAGACTATCTGTATATGTATCCCCAAATTTATGTTTCGGTTAAAGCTTCGGCTCAATTTTAGCTGAAGCTGAATGTTTGCAGCCGAATATCGGATCCGGCCGAAAAATTCACCTTCGATCGGAACAATTTGTGTTTTGCATGCATATTAATGCAATTGCTTATCATACTTACGCCATGGCGTAGCCCTTGTGGAAATTTTTCTCTGAGAAAGTCTTACTTTCTCTGAAAAAGTCTGAATAATATTTACTTATTAAGTAAACTTTTTAAGACTTAATAAGACTTTTAGTAGAGAAATGGTAGGTACAGTGGCGGACACGGAATTTCGAACATCAAATCTCTATCATTTCAAAAAATGCCAGTGCAAACCACACTTTAATTGCGTACAAGGAATTTCGAACATTAAATTTCTGACATGAAATTGATTTTTGTCATTATTGACGTTTATATATTTTTTTATTATTGACGTTTGTATTTTAAATTTGAAAGTGAATTTAAAGCGTCATGACGCGTCAACTTGACCACTGATATAGAAAATGCAAGCTGTATCTTACTTTAATAAAGTTAAAATGGTAACCCTTCTTCAGAGCGGCATGTCATATGGACAAGTTTCGGTACATTTAGGTATACCAAAGAACACCATACATGCAATTATGCGTAAATGGACACTAACTGAATCAGTGGATCGGCATCCAGGTTCTGGGGGTCGCCGAATATCTTCCGCTGAAGAAGACGAAGCGATCATAGATGAAATTAGGAATAATCCTTTCTCCAACGCAGTTCAAGCAGTCGGAATTACATATTTTCCGGGGTCAGTCAGAACTACTCATCGACGAATAAAGGCAAGTGGCTTGCATAATCATGCGGCAGCAAGAAAACCAAAATTAAGGCCTTGACATAGGGAAGCAAGAATTGGTTTCGCATTACAACACCTAGCAGAAGATGATGCATTTTGGAGTCGGGTAATTTTCTCCGACGAAAAAACTTTTCAACCATGCCCAAATGGCCGGATCAGGGTATATAGGCCCCACAATACACGCTACAATGAACGATATGTTGATGCAGTCAAAAGTAGCGGACGCTACTCTGTCAACATTTGGGGCTGGATTTCGGCGGAGAGTCCTGGGAGAGACTAACAAGTGATGTTTATATTAGGATACTTCAAAACGTGATTGCTACCTTCTGTGGAACTGCATTATCCTAAAAATAATTTTGTTTTTCAACAAGATAACTGCTCGGTTCACACAGCACGGAGGGTAGCAGCATGGTTTCAAAATAATAATATAAACGTCCTTGATTGGCCTAGTCACAGTCCGGATTTAAATTCGATAAAGAATATGTGGGGATTAATGACAAAACGTTCAAAGGAGCGACGGATAGCAGTTCAAAATAGGGAAGAACTTGTCCATGCAATAACTGAAGCCTGGCAATTGCCATTGGATTACCACTGAAATCTATGTCTCTCCATGCCGACTAGATTGGCACAAGTTATTCAATCGAATGGAGCAATGACTAAATATTAGTTTACATATTTTTGTTTAGTTTAATTTGATGTTATTGTTTTATTTGTGTGGTTTTTGTTGGGTGAGGTTGATAATTAAAACAATAAACTTATCAAGAATCAAAGCCAAACTCGTACATGCTTTTAAATCAGTTCTAACCACAGAACATAAGGTTCTAACGGAAATTACGTACACACTTCATCACTTTCTGTGTAGATGGCGTGGTGACGCGACAAAGTACAACAGGGTCGTATTTAAAATATTTAAACATATTAGGCACTACAACACCCTTCCGTTTTGAAGAGCTGATTTACATGTGCGAATTATCCTGCTACATTTTATTAGAAAATAGTACAAACATAAAAAAATAAATTTATAAAACGAAACAAATTAAACTCTAGTAATACTAATCTATCACAATATGATATTGCAAAAGTTAGAAGATAAAATGCAAAATGAGATCAGTATTAACAACATGGGCAAGATTTTTGTACAACTTTTCTACCTGAACCTGAATTCAAAATTCTCTCGTTTGAATATTACAAAATTTAATTATATTGTATATTAAATTATTTTAATTTGGTTGTCTTTGTGTGATTCTATAAATGGCAGAGATCATTAAATAAAATTTTGCTTTCGCTGTCAAGATGACGCGTCATGACTGTCCGGAAGTAAGGTTAGTTGTCATGACTGTCCGGAAGTAGGGTTAGTTGTCATAAAGGCAGATTTAGATTTTGATGTCAAATGAATTATAAGTCGTTCAAAATTCCGTGTCCCTCACTGTACCTACGGAGATAAAAATAAATATCCGAAATAATTCATAGAGGTAGTATTTGGGGGTGACGTTCACAATATCGAATTCAAAATATCGAACACTTTTTATCGAAAATCAAAATATCGAAAATACAAAATGTCGAAAATCAAAATATCGAAAATTAAAATGTCGAAAATGATAATATCGAAAATTAAAATGTCGATTTGAAAATGTCGAATAATTAAAATTTCGAAAATTAAAATGTCGAAAATGATAATATCGAAAATTAAAATGTCGATTTGAAAATGTCGAATAATTAAAATTTCGAAAATTAAAATATCGATTTAAAAATATCGAAAATTAAAATGTATGATTAAAATCGAAGTGTATATGTACAGAGGCGCCTCTGTAGATAAAGTTACGGTTATGCACCGAATTATCTTGGCTCCCTGGCTCCTAGAGATGCGCGTTTTATAGAAATGTACTCAAACTCAACAACACAACCCAACCGACCCCGCCCCATTGGCCCCCCCCCCGCCCCATTGAGCAAAAAACCCAACTAAAATGGGCAAATTCATGTTACGATAAAAATAAAACACTTTTTAATTACATAAATTAGCCCATTTTAGTTGGGTTTTTTGCTCAATGGGGCGGGGGGGGGGCCAATGGGGCGGGGTCGGTTGGGTTGTGTTGTTGAGTTTGAGTACATTTCTATATCAGAGGCGCCTCCATATTATTATAATCGATATTTTAAGCAGTCGATATTTTATTTTCGATAAATTGAAAATTCGATTAAATAAAATTTCGACATTTTGTATTTTCGACATTTTAATTTTCGACATTTTGTATTTTCGATATTTTGATTTTCGATAAAAAGTGTTCGATATTTTGAATTCGATAAAGTGAATTTCGATATTATGAACGTCGATATTTTATTTTCGATAAATTGAAAATTCGATTAAATAAAATTTCGATATTATCATTTTCGACATTTTAATTTTCGATATTTTGATTTTCGACATTTTGTATTTTCGATATTTTGATTTTCGATAAAAAGTGTTCGATATTTTGAATTCGATAAAGTGAATTTCGATATTATGAACGTCACCCAGTATTTGGTTATCGTAAAATAAAACACATAGAAAAGTATTTATTAACATTTTTGCTGTTGTTATAAGCCAAGTTTATTGCATAATTACCCATATAATAACATAGGTAAGATGTAATAATTATAACAATTATAATTTTATACATACGATGCGCTTGACATGCATGCTTTCATTGTTTCCACCATAGAAAAAGGAGTTGCCACTGTACGTTTTATTTTAATAGTTTCTTTTGATACACGCAAATATTTACCTATCTAAACATTGTTACAAACAAATCTTCTAGACGTAATATAGAGAGACCAGCTCAGCTAGCTGACCAATTAGAGCACAGCTGACCTGTCAGTGGGACACAGTGTTGCCGTTTGTAAGTATTTTACTCGAAAATCGGGTATTTTCGTAATATTTGCGGGTGATTTGCAAATTTCTATCAAAATAATAACAAAAGAAATTTTCAGTAAATAATAATAAAGTATATTTACTAAATATGCACAATTATTTTATTCTATCCTGTTACATTTTTATTATTATTTTAGTATTTTGTAATTTATGGTCAGGAACTTTTATGGCAACACTGTACGTAAATACGAAGATCAACCATCATGGTTGAACCATGATACAAAGATGAATGAAACACGAAGATCAACCATATTTGTCTTATGAGTCTATCGAAAATATCATGTCTATATAGACATGTCTATATAGACATGATATTAACTCCTTTTTCTATGGTGGAAACAATGAAAGCATCTCAAGTGCATCGTATGTATAAAATTATAATTGTTATAATTATTACATCTTACCTATGTTATTATATAGGTAATTATGCAATAAACTTGGCTTATAACAACAGCAAAAATGTTAATAAATACCTTTCTATGTGTTTTATTTTACGATAACCAAAATCAACCTCTATGAATTATTTCGGATATTTATTTTTATCGCCATAAGTACCTACCATTTCTCTACTAAAAGTCTTATTAAGTATTAAAAAGTCTTATTAACTCTTCCAGAAGACTCCCAAATATTGCTATTAGTCTGACTTAATAAGATTTATTCAGACTTTTTCCGACTTAATAAGTCTTATTCTGACTTTTTCCAACTTAATAAGTATTATTCAGACTTTTTCAGAGAAAGTAAGACTTTCTCAGAGAAAAATTTCCACAAGGATAAGCAATTGCATTAATATGCATGCAAAACGCATGCGCATTACGCCAAATTAGTGCGATTTTCGCAAAATATTGGATCAACCTCAAGATTCCCGCCCCCTAAATTTAAATGCGAATTCGCAGGATCTGTCAAAAAGCTTTTCCAGCCAAATCAAATGGACCCATATGG